ATTTATTCACATACTACAGTTATGAAGAATTTTGCATTTCTTCAAACTTGCTGTCCAAAAGTTTGGGGGAAGTACGTTTTTTTTTCTTCTTTTTTTTCTTCTGATAATCACAGAGGATGCATTGAATTGATTAAAAGTGACAATAAAGACATTTATAATGTTACAAAAAATTTCAATTTAAATAAATTCTCTTTTTTACTTCCATTTATTCAAGAATTCTGACAAAAGTATCAGTTTCCACAAAAATAAGCAGCACAAATGTATTCAACATTGAATGTATCTTGAGCAGCAAATCAGAATATTAGAATGGTTTCTGAAGGATCATGTGACACTGAAGACTGGAGTGATCACAGGAATAAATTAGGCCTACATTTTAAAATAAATTCAAATAGAAAATAGTTATTTTAAATTGTAATAATATTTCACTGTACTGTTTTTTATTGTATTTTTATTCAAATAAATGCATAAGGGTACATTTTTCGAAATTGAGATTTATACATCATCTGAAAGATGAATAAATAAGCTTTCCATTGATGTATGGTTTGTTAGGATAGGACAATATTTGGCTGAGATGCAACTATTTGAAAATCTGGAATCTTTCTCTTCCTATTTTTGTGCCAAAAAATCTAAATATTGAGAAAATCACATTTAAAGTTGTCCAAATGAAGACCCTAGCGATGCATATTACTAATCAGAAATTAAGTTTTGATATATTTACGGTAGGAAATTTACAAAATATCTTCATGGAACATGATCTTTACTTAATATCCTGATTTTTGGCATAAAAGAAAAATCGATCATTGTGACCCATACAATGTATTTTTGGCTATTGCTACAAATATACCCGTGCTACTTAAGACTAGTTTTGTGCTCAAGGGTCACATTTGTTTGTAGTTTGATTCTTGAACAAATGACTCTTATGAACAAGTTCCATGTATTGAATCAGGCGAAGCTGTCTTGATTCCCTGTTTACTGAATTTTCGGTTTGATCAGTCTAATGAATCAATTGGTGAGAAAAGGTAATAAAAATAGCTATAGAATAAGTTAACAATAATAGCACTGTTTAGGAGTTATGTTTAGTCTTTACAGCCCACTTCTTAAGGACTAAAAGAATCGTTAGTTGACTCACTAAGGAAACAGAATCGTTAAGTGGAATCAGATTCAGATCCAGAATAATTTCTTTTCATTCCAAAAGATCAATGATTGTGGCGGCACTGTTTTCCAAACCGGTCTGGAGTTTCACTAGACACACTTCACATGTATGTAGTTAGAATTTATCTTCAGTTAGTGCATATAGCGTCACCTCCCTGTGTGTTTGGCTCTGACAGGAGCTGTTTGTGGAAGAGACTGTTATAGCAGGGCCTGGGGACAGATGAGTGTCTACCTGTGGCTCCCTCACTGAGGGAGACGTTGACTACTGTGCCGTGAGCCACAGATCACCCAATCACATGCCCACAATGTCATGTGGCCACAGAGCAGCAGCCAATCACATGGCCCTGTAATCTGATGGGAGCATCTCAGGAGCCAGTCGCCTCAGAGCTTCTCCGATCGGCTGTAATTGAGGAAGTGATGCTGTTGCTGTAGTGAGGCTGAGAGTGAGTCATCGCTACGACTAATTTTAGCTGCACAGCACAGTCAAAGGGTGGTTTGGGTTTTTTTCCCACATTTTTTTAGGAAATCAAACATCTGTTATTAGAGACTACTTATCAATCAGAGTCAAAGCGGAGAAAGAAAAACGACTTGGTTAGAGAGAAACAGTGGCACTGACTGATTCATTGCATGTTCTGTCTTCTTGAAGTACAGCAATCACTGTGTCCTGGTGGAATAGTTTGTTGCTTATACTTTGTATAAGTATATATACTTATATTTTTAATTATTTATTTATTTATTGATACTTGTAATTATTTTTCAGATTTAATGCAGATTTTGATAAAGGAATAGTTTATAAAAACTGAAGCTTGTCATCATTTACTCACCCTCATGTTGCTCCAAACCTTATGATTTTCATGCTGTTGTGAAACACAAAACATACACAAACCCAAAAAAGGCAAGCTAAAATGACTACAATGAACAAATTATGCTACTTTTATTATTTATATTTCTTTTGTTCAACAAAAGAAAGTTATATAAGTGAAATATGTAGATGTCAAAAAACAATGTAGAACTCGAAAAATGAAAAATAAAATATTACCACATTATGGTACCATTATTATTATTATTATTTCATTTTTCAACAGAAGAATGTTATATGCCACGAAAATGATGTAGATGATGACAGATGTTTATTTTGTTTTTCTTTTTCATTTGGTTGAAATAATCCCTTTATATTTCATATCTTATACATTTTATATCTTTTATATATTGTTATATGTTTCATATTTATGCATCTCATATTTAAGTATCTTCATGCTTTTATCAGAGTAACTTCTATTTATTTATTTTCAAGATTTATTTATTTTACTACTTATGTTGCTAGTAATTATTTTTCAGATTTGACCCAGATATTAATAAAGGAATAGTTTACCAAATGTAATCATTTGCTCACCTTCCTTTCAAACATTTCTTGCTCTAGTGAAACACCAAAAAAGATACATTGCAAAACTTTTGGAGTGCTGTTTTACATATTGGGAATAGAGGCTGTCGAAAAAAAAAAAGACAAGCTAAAATGACCAAATGACCACATTATGGTACTTTTATACCTTTTTAAAACCAAAAAGATTATGTCAGAATTTTTATTTTTGGGTGAAATAGTCCCTTTATATTTTGTATCTATCTATATATCTTTTATATTAGGATATCTTAGTTATTCTTATATTGAAGTATCTTGACAAGTGTAGCAGAGTTGGTTGGTTTGACTCAAGTAAATGAGCTCAGGAATGTCAGATCCAGCAGAAATAGACTCTCTCACAGCTGAACTTGTGGAGGAAGGAAGAAGGGCATAATAGACAGGATGTGACATCAGACGTGGGGTCAGAGTGGCCCTGTAGGCCACCCTATTGAGCTCTTCTTTTTCATTAGTTCTTCAGGAGGATATGACTTCAATGTCTGAGCATGTATTTATGTAAAGGTGATGAGCGCAATCATCGCTCGCTTTCAGGCACGGTTCCACACAATGCATGGCAGTCAACGTCCACAATGACATCATGCCAGAGAATTGGCTGTTTTTGTGTCGCAGCTTTTTTTACGGTTCGCAAGCTGGTTGTTCAGTCATGGAGATATATGGAGGGATGCGGCGTATGGGACATTTTTAGAATAGACATTGACTCAGAGTCATTATCCTCTTTCACACCGAGCTGGTTTTATATATAGATTCACTAAAGTTATATACGTACAGTATGTGCTATAAAGCCTGACACTTTTAAAGGGGTCATATGATGCGATTTCAATTTTTCCTTTCTCTTTGGAGTGTTACAAGCTCTTGGTGCATAAAGAAGATCTGTAAAGTTGCAAAGACTAAAGTTTCAAATCCAAAGAGATATTCTTTATAAAAGTTAAGAGTCAGCCACACCTACCTAAAACGGCTCGTTCTAACACGCCCCCACATATCTACCTCACTATGTGGGAAGATTTGCGTAACGCCGCCCAAATGTTGACGCAAAGAAAGAAGGCGTAACTTTTATTCTCACTGTAGTATTGTTGACGCTGCAGCCATGTCGTGAAGACGCTGTGTGCTTCGTTGTGAAAGTGAAACTACTTTGT